AAGATTTAAAAAAATAAAGAACCCTGGCCCTCAGCTTTTGTTTGAGCCAGCTCTGGCAGCGGGCTCTCTCCCACGTGGCAAGCCCATACTCAGCGCAGGTGTCACTTATGAAACCTTCTTTGTTTTGTTTTTTTGTTTTTTTGTGTTTTTTTTTTTTTTTTTTTTTTTTTTTTTTTTTTTTTACAGAGAGGAAGGGAGATGGATAGAGAGCTAGAAACATAGGCCAGCTGCCTCCTGCACACCCCCTACCAGGGATGTGCCCGCAACCAATGTACATGCCCTTGACTGGAATCGAACCTGGGGACCTTTCAGTCCGCAGACCGACGCTCTATCCACTGAGCCAAACCGGTTTTGGCGAAACCTTGTTCTTGAAGCCCCTGCCCTGGCGTCCGCTGCAGGTTGTGCTGTAAAAGGGTTCGGTATGGACTCTCCTCCCTGTGGGCACTCTGGGGGCAGGGACTTCTAGTCATGTTTGTGTCTCCAAACGTCTCGAGCAGTGCCTGGTACAGAGTCCCCGGGGATGGGTGTGCTTATGCGTGTGGGCCTCTCCGAGGTGGGGTTCTCGGTATTGCTGAGTGATGGAAATGGGGGATGGATGGGGGGGGACGTGGGTTGTAATTATTCCCCCAATCCTGTTTTTCCCGTTTCCATCTTGTCTGAACACTTTTCTCCCGAGTAAATGAAGACTTCATTACACCTTTCTCTGATTGCAAAGGCAACACATAACATAGTATTTTAAACAGAATTTGAGTTCAAATTTTGCTACTTACCGGCTGTGTGCCTTGCACATAATACTTAACCTTGTTATGCCTTTGTTTTCTCATCTGAAAAGTGTGAGTCATTACAAAGATAAAATTAGAAAGGGCACAGAGAGTGCTCAGTACAGTGCCTGGCCCGGGACTGTCGCACACCACGCACAGCCGTAACGCCCCCTTCCGTGCAGAAGAGGCAGCGGGCCCTGCGGCCTGGATGCAGCTGGAGCCTTGGCCCAGGGTCTGCGCTGACCTGCAGCGAAAAGGCAACCCCCATCCGACTGCAGAAGTCGGAGGAGAGTCTGCTTCTCTCTCCGGGGCAGCCTTCCCCACCAGGTTCCTCTGAAGCAGAGCGCAGCAGGCTGGGCCACTCTTTCCTCTCCCTGGCGCTCCGTGACCAGCACCATTCCGGAGCCCAGGGAAGGGACCCACTGCATACAGTGCAGGGCCTGGCACACTGAGGCTGAGACCCCTCCCTCCGAGAAGGCTGCTCTGCTGCTGCTTGAAAACTCTGTGCCGGGCTCAGCTTAGTACATCCAAGCCACACCTCTGAAGTCCTCCCCGGAGGCCTCTCCCTTTCCCTGAATCTTAAAACCTCTCCCTCTCGCGCCCACGGTCTGCTCCTAGAGCAGCACTCACTGGTCCCACCTCCGAGGGTGCTTGCCACTTACCCATCTGTTCTGATCCGTGTCACTTTGCTGTTCTTGGAAGGGTAGCCTGCCTCTCGCCTTCCTCCTGTACCCCCTCCACTTGGGAATGACAGTGAAGCAAATTACTGCCCACGACCACGCGGCACCAACACGACGGACACCTCGTCTGCTTTTTCACGTGCAGACTTTGTAAAATCACCTGCACCTCTTGCTGTGGTATTTCTAAGTGCCTCTCCTTGACCAAAACCCCCTAACTGTCCTGATCTGGGCTCCCGAGGCTCCTGCAGGTCAGGGCCCTATTGCAAAGCCACCGCTCTTCCTGGTGCTACTGCTATTCCTGTCTCCGGCCCCCAGGGAGAGAGCAGGGCCTTTCTTTTTGGGGGGAGAGGTTATGTCGATGTCTTCGGTCAGTAAGGAAAAATAACACGGGTAGGCCATTAGCAGTTCTTACCACAGTTCATATAACGGAATATCATATAGCCATTCATTTTTGAAGAATATTTATTGACATGGGAAAATGCTCACAATGTTAAAGAAGCAGGATACAAATCTGTAAATACAGCATGATCCCAATCTTGTAGTAAAATAAATTATATATGCATAGAAAAAACACAGGACAGAAATACACTAAAACATTAACAGTGATTTATCTCAGGGTGGGTGGGACTCGGGGTGAATTATTTTTTAAATTATTTCCGGCATTTTTCAAACTTTGCACAATGAACATATATTACTTTTTTACAACGGGGGCAGGGAGGAAGTCGATACAGGTGACACCCAGTGCTGGGAGGTGGCAAGACTGACCGGAACTCGGGAGATACTTGGTACTTGTACTTGTCAGCCAGCATCCTTGCTTATAAAGGGATAACATCTGTCCTGCCCACCTCCCGGGACCCCTGGGCACATAAAAGGGTCTCAAGTGTCTGTTGATTGTTACTCCAAAGCAGCAGCTCAAGTGCTGTATTTTAGGACACATTCCTCCATGTGGTGTCAAAGGTCAGGAGGGATGCGGCCGGGAGCCATGTGTTGTGTGTTCTGCCACCCCCACCGCAGGCCAGCGTGCAGGCAGGGGTCTGAAAGCCTGCAGCCCTGCTCCGGCCTCAGGACTCCAGGTCCTTGCTGGCGAAGCGTCGAGCCAACTGCCCCCTCACTTCAACCAACACCTCTTCACATAGAAAGTTCTTGACTCTGGTTCTGCTGAAATAGTTATTGCTTAAAATGGCCTGAGAATTACCCCTCTCCCAGCATTCCAGAGTCATAGGAGGCACAACGTGGACCCAGGTGGGCAGTGTGTTGAAGGGGAAGGAGCGGGGTTAGGGGTCGGGCCAGGGGAGCTGGGTGACAGGCTCTTTGGAGATGATCTCTAGTATGAGATGGATGTGATGAGGTTACATGACGCAACATACATAGAAAACCCGTGTGGTGAGCACACAACAGGTGTCAGTTCTCTGTCCACGTGCAGGATGTAGTCACTGTCAACCTCGCCCCCCGCAAGTTCTTTCCTCACAGCTAAGACTCAGTGCCCAGTGCGGGGGGCTGAGAGGCAGTGCAGCGCAGGGGAGGCTGCTCAGACCCACTGCACAAGGCCGCGGGCACTGCCCCGAGGCACGTCTTCCTTAGGGAGACCCACACACATGCCACAGCGATCAGATTGTAGAAATTATAAAAATATTTCAAAATGCATTTGTACATGAAATAACAAAAATACTTAAATTCTTCTAAGCTTTTTTCACTTAATCTAAAAGTATGAATTGCCACATTTCGTTTAACTGTTGTTAAAACCAGTCACCAAGATCTTCTACTCCCAACTGCTTTGGATGACAATTCTAAAATGCAATGTATTCCCCCTAGATTTTTTATCGAGTGTTCTGGATTTTTTTATTTTTTTTTAAGAAACGGGTTCATTCTTGAGAATCAGTCTATGGGCCAGATTGTGATACGTGTCATTCGGGAAACAGACTCTCCCAGACTTGTGAAACCTTGAGGAGCTTTCTCACTCTGCCCGCTTCCTGCCCGGCTGCGGGCCTTCACTGCCTTCCGCCTAGCACTCCTCCTGTGGCCTAAAAGCCAGATAACTAAACGTTTTAGAAATGTATGCACGTTTTAGTGGAGATTCTTGAGGCTCTCTCTGATGAGCAAACTGCAGGAAGTTTTTGACCTCTCTCTTGGTGGCTCACAGGCACTGAAAAACTCAATTCCTGTTTTGTTTTGCCAGAGAAGTGGTTTCTGGATCACTGACATTTTCACTCACACCCAGGTGCCTGTCCGTAAGGAGGCTATTTTAAGTGCGATGTACAAGTACTTTAAAAAAGCATGAGCTGGGAAATAGTTTACCCCGTGTATCTGTAAAGAAACACACACAGATGGCTAAATTGAATCAACCCCAATGTTTTATTTAATTTAAAGTTTTAAAAGGCAGTGGTTAAGCACATTTTCTATGTGTGTATATATGTATGTATACAAACATACATACATATATAAAAGGAAACCAACCCCTTTTCAACTTTAGCCACTGATTAACCAGGCTCACCGATTCATTTTCTACTTCTTTATATGACCAATTTTTAAAGTAAAAATAGCCTTCATCAGTTTAACAGTAACTATTTGTGTTTCTTTTCTTTTTTTCTTTTTTTTAAATAAATAAGGTTACTGATAAACTGATCATATGATAGAAAGGTAGAACACACACACATCAGCACACACACAGCCCCCACTTAAAACATGTGACGTATGAATGACCTATATGTACAAAAGGGTGCTCTGACTCCTGCCCCAGCAGAGGCCACAGAGAGCTCCCAGGGCTCAAGGGTCCCCATTCCCTCTGCTGGGACACGTGTTCCTGGCACCCCGAGGTAACCTCAGAATGCATGCTCCCCATGCAACGATGCAGATGGGGCTCAGTTCTCTGGTATAGTGTTCAGGTATATGAGGGAATAAATAGGCATTGTAGCTGCCTCCGAACTTAACCGTCATTTTATAGGGAGAAATGCATTCTGAAGTTCTAGGTAAGTGACATACAAACTTTCAGTGCAGTCAGTTTGCAAGTCCGGGGCTGTGTGTGTGTGTGCGCATGTGCGCGTTTCTATTTTATACAAAACAAATGAAGAATGGAGCTAGGTTTATGGAGCAGCTGCTTGACTTCCATGTAGTCAGTCCTGATCTAACAAGCCACTTGCCTCAGCCCTTACTTAGCAGTTCTTTCGGATTCCCGCGCCTCTGTCTGCCGGAGAGATCCAGGAGGGCAGCTCACACGATGAGAGGAAAGATGCAGCTAAATCTTCTGCTAAGAATCTTGGCAAATGACCTGCCAGATTCCGCCAGGGCTGGGTGACAGCGAAGTCCTTCGGTTCCGTCCTGACGAAATGGCGTTCTGCTGCTGCCAGCCCCTGCCACTCCATCTAACTGCAGCTCTGCATGAATGCCTCGGGATCGCAAAAACACAGGATCGCCTCTTACGTATGCTGGATTCTCAAGGAGTAAACCAGTTAATGTGTTTCTAGCCAAAGCAAGGGCATAAATGTTTGAGAGAAAAGATTCCCCTGGAGCTACAGAGAAAAGACGCTGATAAAAGCAAGACTGGATTGAGCAGGTGATGGCTTTAGTCCGTGTCCGAGCTGGTCTCCTCGATGATGGAGTACTGGCTGAGAGCTTCCTCCAAAGGCGTTATTGTCCCGTCAGGCTTTAGTCCCATTGGCTTAAGCAGCTCCTCTCTGGAGAAAGAGAAAAGAAAGAAAAAAAGTATTCACCAGCATCACTCACACTCCCCTCCCTCCCGCCCAGGCCACAGCCTTTCAAAAAGGAAAGTCTTTAAAAAACCAAGTATTTTCCCTCCAGCTCTCTGTCGTTTGTACCAGGAAAGATGAAAGGGGCACGGAGAGAAAAAGCGGGAGATAAAAGGCTTCATTCACACAGGCCAAACCCACTAAGCCAATTAGAGGTATGAAAAGTCAAGGTCTAAATGGCTCAGGCCAAGGAGCGGGTCCTTCTGCCTTTAATAATTCACTTTTTTTTTTTTCTTTTGTGGATTTGTTTTGTTTTAGCGAAGCTGAAGCTGCTGGAACCTCACCTGTCGCAGAGGGTCAGGCACCCGGTTACAGGGCTGATTGGACATGTGGACTTGGCCACGGAATAAGGCGTCAGGTCTGATTTTGCCTCTCCGATCTCTAGTGATACATGGGTACTCAATTCATTTAGAATCAGTTGGCCTTCTCCAACTTTCTCCCTCCCTTTTCTTTCCTCCTCTTTCTCCTTTTGTGAAACACCATTGCTTTTGTTTGTAGCAGTTTAATTACGGTTCTGACAGCCATTTTAATCTCCTCAAAGCTCCCCAACTGCCCCTTTCCAGCTAATCCAATTACATCTACTCCACAAGGTACAGCCTCATCTAGAGATGATTAATTATTGATTAAGCCAATCAAAAAGCATTAGGAAAGATTTATTTAATCTTTTCAGGGGTTCCTATTTTATTACATGGAGATTATGGCAAATGGACCTGTTGCGTTCTGACTGGCCGGAGGTCAGCAGTGCTGTAGGGGAGGCCGGAATGGGCACATGAGCTGCTGAAACTTGCTTGTTATGGAAGCTGGCATCGCCCCCTGAAAACTTATCTGCAACCAAGAACCCACGTGGCAGCGGCTGTAATGCTGGTGGGGCTTGGAGTGAAGGCAAATAATAAACCTCCCTGGCTGCCTCCTCGCTGTCGTCCCCACTGGGGAGCGCCCAGCCACACGCCAGGGATGTGCTAAGCCCAGTGAGACCTCCTGGGGCGTGAGAGCAGCTCAGTGGCCACTGTAAGCCAACAGCAGCCTGGTCAGTTTGAAGAATCAGTAATGTGGACAGCTGACAGGTTAAGCTGAGGCGCCTGAATATTTATTATAAAACAGGAAACATGTTTCCTGATCCAAGCAATGGGGTCAGAATCACAGAACCTGACGCTGAAGGGGCCTTAGAGATCATTTAGTCCAACCCCTCCTTTCAGAAGAGACGAGTGACTTACCCAAGGTCCCATATCTAGTGGCCACGTTAGACCTGGGACACAGGGGCCCCGATCCGGCTGTGCGCGCTGCGGCACACACAACGGGGCGACCTGCTCTACCTGCCCGGGGAGCACCCTCCTGCAGCTGCTCAGTGTCGGCTCACCACTGTGTCCCAGGAACTACGTCACATGCGGGAGACAGCTCAGCTGCCCCCTCGAGCAGGTGAAACGTATACATGAAAAGTGACTCGTACGTAACGGGGTGAGCGCTGTAAGAGAGCCACGGACCAAGGACTGTGGCAGCTCCTGAGGAGCACTCCCACACTGCCAGGGAGCAGGGATGGCACGCCAGGGCGGCGTGTGCCAGCAGCAGGCACAGGAGGCGTGCAAAGGGCTCCGTATGGTCCCATTTACTTGTGTGACTTTGCAGAGCTTTGCTGTGTCTGAAGGCTGTGTTTGGGGAGTGGCGAGCGTCTGAATGAGTGGAAGGAGGCAAGGCTGCGAGGGGAGCTTGGGACCTAGTCGTCAGGTGTCCTCAATGGCCGCCTCGGGGGAGCTGTCTCTGGCGGCTGTGTGTACAGCGGGCACACTGGTAGGGGCACTGGCAGAGACCAGTCATTAGGATGGGAGAGGACACAGGAAGCTGGACTATGGCTGTGATGTGGGAAGTCAAGGCTACGTCTCTGAGGTAGACCCGGGATCCCCTGGGAGGGCAGGCTGGCTGGTGAACAGTCCCCGTGCTTCCCACTCACTGACCACATGACAGCCCCATCATGCCCGCAGCAAGGACCCAGCAGAGGGAGCGGGTCTGCTGGGAGAGGCTGGCATCTTCAGGACGGGAAGAGCGTGCGGTCCTTGCACGACAATCGGGCGGAAGTGGTTAGTGGAGAGCTCGAAATGATCTGCTTCCACTGAAACTTCTCTCCAGCACTGAGGCACACCGTGCACATCTTATAAACTAATAACTGATACAGAAGGAAAGGGGGGCACTGCTGGGAATGAAACATGAAGGCATAAGAAAGCTCAGAGGTCTGAGGAGTTGGTGGACGTAAGGGTACAGTAAGGAGGGGGGTATAGGAGGGGATAGGTGGAAGTAGATGAGAAGGGAAAAATTCTACCAAGATAGGAATTGCTGGTGGACAGACATGACCCCTCACACTCCTGCGTGCCCTGGATGGTGCTGGGCTGGCTACCACCTGTACAGGGAGCAGCTTTCTTGGTCAAACCTGGGAGGAGTGTGTTCAGATCAAGGCCCTTAGTTTCATCCCTACTCCTCAATCCAACTTTACAGTGGAAATAATTAAGAACAATTCAGTAGTTTTATGGCCAGTAATTCATCTACAGAATAAAAGGCCCCATATGTTAATTCCCACTGGTGGTCCATTCTTCCCAAGCTCTTATCTTCTGGGCCCTCTGTCTCCACCTCCACTGCTGTGGAGCTCTGAGGGTATGAGTATTTTCTTTCCCACGTGGCTCCAATGTGATGCTTGGAATTAAGACTTTTTTGGGAGAAGTGTCCGTGGTCACTGGCCACGTAATCATGTATTCATGCAAATGAATTGAGGCAGCAACGTGATAGAGCAAAAAATATCTGGAGCCAGGAGGTCTGTGTGAAGTTCCAACTCTTCCACTTACCAGTTGAGTGATGATGGGCAAGTCTCTGAGCCTGTTTCCCTGTCTGTGGGATGGGAACAATGATGATGCTAGATCTAACTACTTCCTAGGGAAGATGTGAGTAGCCTGTTTCCCCGAAAATAAGACAGTGTCTTATATTATTTTTTTCTCCCAAAGTTGCGCTAGGTCTTATTTTCGGAGGATGCCTTATTTTCAGGGAAACACGGTAGTAGCATTAACATTAATAGTGGTAGGAGTAGAGTAATAACTACAGTTCAAATGAAAGACTTCCATGAACGGTAAAGGAGTCCTAAATATTCGTGTTACTGTGGTATAATGAAAGGCATATGTAGGCTTAAAGTCAGACAGCCCAAGGTTCTAATCCTGAATCCACTGCCCACTAGCAGCATGACCTTGAACTCTCTGAAATTCCACTTCCTTGTCTGAGGAATTGAGATAGGAATACCCACCTCACTTAATTGTCATGAGGGCAGAAGGTCATTATACATCTAACGTGCAAGGTGCAATGGCTGGACTGTCATGGAACCCACAATGGCATTTCCTGTCGCGTGCTTACGGAAAGTCTCCCCACGCTCGTTAGGGTAGTCGGGGAATTAAGTGGGAGGAGAATATGCAGAAACAAATAAAAGACATGGTCCCTGTCCTCAAGAAGCTTTCAGCCAGCTCAGAAGAGAACACACATGCACATTAAACGGTAGTAAGAGAATTACAGAACAGCAGGTCCACAAGCTGAGAGATTAACAGGCAGAGCCCTTTCCCTCGCCTGGTGCTTGATTCACGACACACCCTATTGCAACTCAAATCTGCTCAAAGGACAAAGAGAGAGGGTCCCTTACAGATAGGTATGTGTCTGCTTTTCCTTTCAGCTCCACGTTGCAAAGCTCCATCTTAACATTTCTAACCATCTTCCTTTCTGTCATACAACTAACAGCCCACAAATAGCAAAATGAAGTCTTTTGATCCAGGGACTCACTCCTAAAAGGTCTGATACCTGACCTGGTTATATTAGACTGTTTCATTTTATCAGCTCCGTTGTAGCTAGATCAACCAGATATGAACAGAAAATGGGAGGCATTAATGAATACCACAGACATGTTGCTCCACCAATCATATGTACACGTGGGAGGGACACAGGAGATGGGGAGGCTGGTCACAGGCTCCTTGCAGGCGACAGCTACAGGGCCGGACTGTAATGGCGGTGATGAATATGGATTATGGGGAGGAAGGCATCCCAAAAGCAGAGAGTTAGTCAAGCAAAGGCACAGAAACAAGAGTTAGTTGTGTGTAGGGATTGGCAAACAGGCTGGGTTGGCTGAGGTAAATTTTTTAAAAAAGCTCAAAACAGATACAGGGTATGAAAGAGAATCTCAAAGGAGACTATGAAATCCTAGGCTGACAAGTCTGGATTACAGTATGAGGTATTTTTGTCTTCTATTTCAAGGGCCTTACATTTAAAACATTCTCCTTACAAAGCTTGAAAGCTGTGGAACAGTATCATTGACATATAAGAAAAATTGCATGCTTTCATTTTCATACCCCTGTGTCTAGCACAGCGCCTGGCAGATAGAGACCCTCAGTAAGCATGTCTGAGCTAACCTTGGCTGCAGCTGCTATCACCTTGCACTGCACAGAAAGGAAAGGCGTTCTCTGGGCCTCCCGAGTAAACCACAACCAAGAGGAAAGCTGCGTCTCTGGGCAGAAGTCACTTTCATCATCAGATCCAGAGCCAGGAGAGGTGTTATGAGCATTCTACAGCAAATTCCTCCCAGGGCTTTTTCCAGTAGACTGTGAGCAATCTGAGGGCAGAGTCCATGTCTTCCCTGGCTGTGGTCTGCATACCTAGCATAGGACGGAGCACACAGCAGGTGCTCAATGCTTACTGAAAGAATACATGGGTCATAGCATCAGTGGAGAATGACAGAGAACCATCTGTCAGGAATCATTCTCATTATTTTAGGTGTAATTAATTTCCCTGCTGAGGCAAAAGTCAGGCCCTTTACACCGTTCACCCTGGAGCTCCCAACCACTAAATGGTGTAGGTTCAGCTTCTACCACATGGAGCGCCAGGAGGTCTAGATTCGAATCGCAGATCTCCCACTA